AAACAACTTTGCCATAAAGTTATTTATAAAAAAAATAATAATAAAACTGTTTACATGTACAGTACGCCTAATAAATTTGAGCCTGAACTTTTCTTGTAAACAAACATCAACGACTGTTTACATTATAAATATAACCTATATATTGATATACTGTATACATATATTTAAAAAAAATATATTATGTCTGTTATATAAAGAAATTTAAGCTGAAAACATTTATTACTTTGATCCAGAGCATCATAAAATCCAGGAAATGTAGAAATTGATAAAACACTCGAATTAATGAGAAGCGGATATACAGCACAGAGAAACAATATGGAGTCTATTAATCATTATCTCTTAACCTGCAGCGAATTTAAATGAAATTAGCTCATTAATTAATAGAGTTCAGTCAGCGCAACGTTTAAAACGATACCATAAAATGTGTCGTACGTAGGCTGATTTATACTTAGAGGAAATTACTTTTAATTATATTGTTGATTGAAGCGTTGATACCATAATATTTCCTTGTTGATGGAAGCCAGATGGGAATTTTTATCGATCGTGAACCCCGGCGTTAGAGATCGAAGCAGAAAATAAAAGACCAAAATAATATATGTGGTTAGATTGATTGTGTGTAGGTAGAGAATAAGATAAAAGACAGCAATATCAAAATGCATTTTCTAACGTTCCCCGAAGGGAAGAAAATGGAAATGGATCGTTTCCACCAAATTTGGTACGGCAATAGTTCGGGTACGAAATTGATTTTGAGAAAGTGGATAAAGAGATGGGTGGATGGATGTTGTAAGTCGAGTTGGTCCTCTAGTGTTTATCGATCTCGAGAAAATATAAAGCGTGTAATTTGACTTTAAACTAACACAATCGTGTTCTTACACGGTTATGAAAAAAAGAGAAATGAATTAAACTGTCGTTTCAGCTTTGATCTTTGCTCATTTTATATAAAACAGGTTAAATGTCATTCTGTGAAGCTTCAGTGCAAACAAAGTTACACAATGTGCAGCTTGTTTTGGTTAGTTGAGCTGTTTGTCCCTGAGTTCGGGGCCCAGTTTTCTAATGTCTTACTTGTTACAAACAGAACCGTGTTTGCACAATTTAATAACATTTTTAAATGCTATTATTTAAATAAGCATAAAAATTAAAATGGTTTTTCAATCTATAAATTAATTTTTTTCTGTATTTTTTAGATTAAATACGAACATGGTTTAATTTATTTAAATAATAGAACATTTATGAATATTTTAAGATTAAAATCCTAAAATTGCTAACAGTGCCTTTGTTTTTGTTATATTTTTTTGCTATTTATATATAGGCTACATATACATTTGTGTTTTGTTCCGAACCTGTTTAATTTCGTCCTTCAAGCTACTCATTAAATTTGCATAAATTCGCACGGGTAGATCAACTTTTAAGAAAACGTATATTATAATTACTGTAAGCTGTTAGAAAAACAAATCTTATCGATTTTAGAGAAAATATGACCCTGAGAATTTTCGAACAATCCATATTTTCTTAGCATTAGTTATCTGATACCGGATTGCAATAATCTAGAAAGATTTCTTAAAGGGAGTGTCGAAAATTCAGGTCATTTAAGCTTAATTAGCATATCTGAAGAAAGTCAAGAAAGAGGGCAGACAAGATTGTTGACAAATTAATTAAACGAAAACAATTTCAATTTCTAGATTTAAATTAAACTGTGGATAATATCTAGAATCTAGTAAAGTTTATGGGATACTGAACCATATTATGATACACCAACCGACAACAAAAATAGACACCACTTAGAATTCTAAACATTATTCCAGATCGAAAATTTTCGATATATTTTTAACTCAAACTTATAATTTTCTGTCAGGAAAGTTATTGAAAAGGAAATATATTTTGTTCCGCAAGTACCTACGCTATTCTTCTTACAAGTATTATTATTGCTTTTGTTTTTCTTCTTTTTTAATCCATTTTCCTCGTTGAACAACTTGATTAAAATTTTTAAAACCTTACCACGTCAGAATATCACGAAAAATTCTATTCAACTGTGTTCTAGAACTGTTCTAAACCTGCATAAAACTCCAAAGCCGAATATTCACAACTGTATAAAAAATTAATCCACTCCAAAGCTCCAACGTGCAGCGGGATTTCTGGAAACTTTATATTACTCGAGGGACCGGGAGAAAGGCAAACATTCTTCAGTAACACGAGCCTTTCCATGTCGTAAAAGAAAACAGATTCGGTATGTTGAACGGGATTAAACTGTTCCGTTTTATTACTTTTGAAAAGATTTCTACCGAAATCTTTCCTCTTCAGTACCTTACTTTTTAATACGAAAAAGTGGCCGAAAGATTTATTATTTTTAAAAAAATAAAATATTCGTTATTAAGCGAGTTAGTAGTTAGGAAAACCGCATTAAAAACTAATGAATTTTATATGAAACCACCGAAATATACTCACAGCTTGACGGGATAATGGCGACTCTCGTCGGATAACCTTTCTCCGAAAGAAAATCTATGTCACTAGGGCTGAGTTGAGATGATTTCACTATCACCCAACGCTAATCAGAATCAGTCGGAGACTAAACGGGTCATGCAGAAGGGCAAAATCTTGGCCTATTTTACACTCCTGGACGTGACTTGTTTGACGAGTGATCGAACTTGGCGCAATAAGCATTTTACATCCCGCGACGTCGAATATTCACTTGATTGAGGAATGTAATTGTAGTTTTTTCTTATTTATTTCTTTCGTATTTTACACTTCTGGTTTCTATTTACCCAAGCAGATCGGAGCTTTTGTGTTTTTATTTATTTATTTCTTTTTTCCTGATATTGCCGTTCGCGCACTAATTACTCGAAATTGACGATCCTAAATAAACCTCTTCGTGCTAGTTATTTTAGGCTTTAAATTATTAATTTAACCTTCGTCGGGTCTGTGTTTTTGTAGCAAGTTCAGTGCCTCACTTGTCTGGGGATTAATTAGAGCCAATGTAATTGCAAATTGCTAAATGCCGAAGCGTTAAAATCTTAAATGAAAACACGTATTATCACTTTCATTTAATAGAAGCCCGAAGCATTCTTCTTCGTAAAACTTCGAAACGATTCTATTTTTAGACCTTTTAACCTTTTATACCAGAATAAATTCAATCTGTAACGCTTGTCGAGAGTTAAAAAGGCTTTTCCGCATTTATATTTTTCTTTCTAAAAGCATCTGAAAATTTTATATAGGATTAAATTTCTAACGCTTATCCGCCGATATAACGAACTTTTCCGACACTAGATGGCAGCAGCGAAATTTGATTGTTTTAATACATGTCAAAAGTCGAAAATTTTAAATTTTCTTCTTCTTTTCTTTTTTTAAGACGAAGAAATTTGAAATGTTTTAAAAGTTATAATTGCGTTAAGAGGAAAGTATATCTCGGTTAAAAAGCTGAAAATTGTTTTTAAAAAATCAATCAAATATATAAAAATTTAATTATCGAAAGTTAAGAGAGAATTTTTCTATTATTAATGTCGGTTATTTCTCTTAGGAATGTTCTTGTAATTTATCAAAAAATGGCAGGTGTTTCTGACAGGAAACAGTTATTAAAAATGGCGCCGTGAGAATTTAAAAAAAAGGGGCATTAATGCTTCTGGAATAATAATAGTAAAAGAAAAATGTAACAAAGGTTATTTGCAGTTAAAAAATGTCAAAAATTGGAAAAGAAAGGTTTTGTAATAAGAACAAATTTATGACAACCATTTAAATTTTGTAAAATTGTAAGAAATATTGTCAAATGAAATGGTAAATTATTTATGATCTAGCGCCATCTAGTAACTGTTATGTTAATTAAGAACTTTAAATATTTTTATTAATTTGATGACTTAATTAATATTCGAAACATTTCCGCTTTTTTTTGTTAAATCGGTTTATATAATAAACTATATAACATTAAAACATACTTATATCGCGTATCTAGATAACTAACGTCAATTTATTTACATTATATCAATCAATTTAAGAACACTCTAATTGATAATAACCCGACTGGATATCATCTTATTAAAGTACTTTTACGATCAAATTTCGCCATACCTTTTAATACTTTCATAGCCGAATTCTGATCATATAAACATTTTTAATGACGAATTATATAACGCCGCTTGGCATTTTTCGACATTAAAAATAACAAAATACTTGTCGTTAGTATAATAGAATTAACATACGCGGAAAATGCCGGGGAGGAAATGACGAAACGAAAAATCCCGTACGTATCCTGCGGACGTAGGAAGTTTCCGTATTGATGTTATCAAAATTTTAATATGTGATGTCGTATCGATCGCGCCTTGCTTTCTGCTGCAGGTGTGTGCGGTGCGAGCGGAAGGCGAATTCCTACACGAACTCGCCACCACCTGCAGTACATCTCCGACAAATTTTCTAGATTCTCACGAAGGATGTATCGAAATATCTTCTACTTATACGTCAACGTCCGCTCGTTTTTCTGCGCTTAACTGACTGCAGACAATGTCGATATCCACCACACAATTGCAATCTGCACGGTCACAATCCGTCGAGGGAACTGTTCCAATGGCGGGTTTTATAAACTCTGTTAACCATGCGAAAGAAACGAACAACGTTAACAACGCCCTTAAGAATGTTCAATTGATAATGATTATCTGCAGATAGTGGCTAACAATGGCCCTCGACGAGATTGGGGACGACCTATGCATTGAACTGGATCGACTGTTCGCACTTTTCAAATTATTTTCTATACACAACGTCGAGAGAAAAATTGTTTCTTTCTTTAATCGTAATTGTTACCGGTTTGATAAAGATTTGATATATTCTAAAGTTTAATCTGGTTCTTCGACATTACAAACCGAAGTTTAGAGAAAAAAAGAAGCCGCAAAGTAGGAAAAATCAATAATAAAAACTTGTTCGAAAACTCATTTTAAAAAAGGCGTAATTTTCGGCTTCCTTTCATCCTCATAAATATAAATAATAATAATAAACAGAAGATAGAAAGTTTGTAAACTTACCTCACCGAATTGAAGTAAACGTTCCAATCCTAAGGATTCTTTACTTCTCGTTTCCGCCGATTTTTTCCCTTTTTCTAAAAGGAATGATTTAGGAAGCGAAGTAGCCCTACGATTAGGACCGAAATGATTAGAGGAATTATCTTCGGCGGGTGTTTTTGTGCTGGATGAAGAATTTTCGTCTTTTTCTTCGATGTCTGACATCCATATGTTTTTTTCCGAGTTTTCCGCTTTCTTGATAGAATTGCCACTTTCGACTTTCTGGACGTTCCGCCTGGTAATGGGTTGAGAGAGCGGAGTCCTGTTTATTTTCGGTTTTTCTACATGTTCGGGTGTTTTACTCTTATGGGATATGCTACCGATGTCGACCGTGGAGGATTTTTTTAACGAACATTGAACTTCTGATGTTACATTCCCGTTGGGAAGGTTCCTGACCAGATTTGACTTTTTAACGGGGGTGGGAGCGGAGAGTTGTCGCGCGTTTAGCACTTTTCCACTATCCACCGATACCGATCTCATGGGTCGCCTGAAGGAGCGTTCGCTTTTGTCATTTTGCGTAATTTTAGTTGGTAACTTACTTCCCTTTTCCCATTCCGAACCTTCCGGCGAATGTCGGGGTATCGATTTGGGTTGGTCTCTTTCGATGAGAGAATTGAATGATTGGTTCTGTTGATTATCGTTACAATGCAGCGAATTGTCTGCGCCATTTTTTTCCTTCTTATCGCTCGAAACGTAACTGACATTCCTGGTTAGTGTACGTTTCTCGGATGTATTTTTACTGTTGGATGATTTTTCGCTCTTGGTTACGGCTTTGTTTTGGTAGACGGGTCGCGGCACTCCTTTCCTGATCTGTGCAGAATCCCTAACAATACCATTACTCTTTGTGCTTTTATCCGTCTGTCTACAATACGACTGATTTCTAACAAAACCACGAACCGTTTCCGCTTTTTTCGTTTGTAGGCCGTTTCCTTTACTGCCGGAAAGGCTGGAATGGGAACTGGATAGGGACGATCTGGACGACGATTTCGTCTTCATATCACAAATATTACTCTTGGACGGGACCGTACATCTATTACTTACTTTGGTCGTGGGTGGTGGACGAGTAGACGACCTCTCTTCCGTAGTATTTCTTTTCACTTCTAAGGGTTTGCGAACTGATGTATTTCCTATCGATTTAACGTTAGTTGGAACTCTTTGCTGTTGGCAGGATTTCAAAATCGGATTCTTCATGGGAGTCAATGTGTGTTTCACGTGTATACGAGGTCTAGGAATTCCCGACGGGTATGTATTTTGCCTGACAAAACCTTTTTCCTGTTCTTTAACCGGAGTCGTACCATTAGAAACACTTCCGGAGATAGTTCGAGGGTTTCCCTCCGGAGAAAGTTGATGATGGTCTTCCTTTCCATTTGTGACATCAGAAGTATCTTTCGAGTGGACTTCCGAAAGGTTAACCTCGGTCAAATTCAGTTTAATGTGATCTAAACTATCGATATTCCACGTGCAGGACGATTCGACGTTTTCGCTTTCGTCAGCAAAAACACTATCGTTAAGCAAACTGTCGGTAATCCACTTATCCGTAGGTGATTCGCTGTTAGAATCGATGCTTACCTTCCAAACGTGATTATCCCCATCGGAGTTACATAAGTCCGTACAATTCTGTTGCTTAGAGTCCACCGGTTCTAACAGAACACATTTGTTGTCGACGTCCGTTTCGCCGTTTTCCACCGACACTTTAGAATGAACCAGGTTCCGGATGACTCTCCTGTGTGGTGACATGTTCTCCTCGCTGACACTGTTCGCTGTATCCGACTTGGTGTCTGTGTTCGGCCTGACTGTATTGACTCGTGTTCTGCCGCCATCTGGTGTCTCGTTTTTAAACTGTTCGTCGGGAGTGGCGGCTCGGGGCCTATAGGTGCCAAAAACCAGGTGTTCTATATTGGTGTAGGCGGGATCTCTTTTTAAATTAAGGCTTTTTTTATTGCCACTCTTCTTCCTAGTTTTAATCCCTTCGGCCAATTTCATTAACTTGTTTCTGTTTTTGGCAATGCTTAAAAGCGTGGCCGTGTCCATGTTGTTATGCCTATAGGCCATTTTTATCCGGGTACTTTACACATTCTGAAAATACAAACAACAAATAAATATTCTTAATAACTCAGCATGTTTTAGCGTATAATTACGCGTAAAAACGGCAATTTTTCATAATAATAATACTGTTGGATGATGATTAAATCGATTAAATACTTAAAACTTTTTTTCTTGCAAAATTAAATTTTTCCAAATTGTATTACAAATTCTGGATAATGAAAACTCTTAAAGTAAACAGAATTGAATAAAATTAGGGCAAAATAACCATCACGCTAACGGCGAAAGCGACTGAAATTGCTTTACCTAGTTATGATATTTTTTCACGTTAATAAAAATTTATCATCATCATCATCATCAAGAATATTATATTATATTAACAATAATAATCATCTTTATGAGCTTGTTTGTTTATAAACTTTCATTATCCTTATTTTTCTGTATTAAATCCTATAAGAAAAAATTAGAAACAAACCGAAGATGTAATTACTCTTAGCATCAATCCTATAAGGCAAGTTAAAAATAAACAGAATTGAACTACCGTGCAAAGCAGTATTGATGTTAAGTAACATTTTACACGCTTATAATACGTATTTTTAACGTCTCCGTTAATAAAACTCATTAAAACTCGACCAGTAAACATACGAAGATGTAATATATCACGAAACGCTTCCATGACATGTTACGTCTGTACTAAATATAGGTTATAGCATTTAAAAAGGCTCATTTCCGAAACATAGTATGGATAGCAGGCACGTCATTCGTGTAACCATCTAAAGTTAGCTAATCGAAAAACACTACAAAATGGAAAAAAAAACTGAAGGTCGTTAACGCTCTATCCTTTAAGAAAAAATATATATGTATAACAAGATGCAACAACACGGTCATTTACAGTCGTCAGTCTGTTCACGTACGCTTCATTGACACGAAAGATGACATCGAATGAGGTCCATATCGCGATAATGTTATCCGAAATGGCTTTTCGTATGCTAAATGCCGCCAAGAGATTTTGAACGGAAAATCGGGAGTCATTTGTTTCGCGTTAAGAAAATTCCCGTCTTCTTATCGTCGTAGACAAATATTTAACTTTAAACATTCTTGCAATTCCGAGTTTTAAAAAAAATTGTACACCTACACGATCGATAATTCGAGTGCTTTTTTTTATCATAGTATAAAATATATTACGATATTAGTAACGATTATAGATGCTATTATAGTAACAACAACGTGAGTGACTACTTACAAATATTCGTAACACATCTGAATGAACAGGATTTAGGCTAAACTGATGAGCAGACATTCCTCATTATTTGCCAAGCAAAGCTACCGGGACGAGTTTTGTTCGCTGCCAATTTTTTTTTCGTTTTAACGAGACTAATTCGCAATTTATCGAACATCTAAACATAAATAATCGGACGAGAACGGAGTTTTAATACATAAAAAATCTGTTAATCGTCGTAACCACACGTATAAATCATTTTGTTAGCCTTATATAAATAGCGAGCTTCGATATTTGTTCAGTCGGGGAGCAAAACGTTGTTTATGTAGTTCACGAACCCCGACACCAACGATGTGGCGACGGGAACGAAAATATAATTCGAGTGACAAATGTCCTTCTTTTCGTGATTTAAACGTCTGTATTTTACTTAATTACTTTCTTATCTAAATAATTCCACCGATAGCTACGTGAAATGGTTGAAATCTGGTCATTACACGCTCGACATCTCGGCCCAGAGACCGAGTTGTGAGCACCTGTGTCCATTTAGTTCATTTTTGTAGCAGATGCTACGCGACAACAACCGGATTTCGCTTTTGGCGCAACACGCTCTTTTCTCTTTCGTGTCGAACAGGTTTGAGAAGAAAATGTAATTTCATTCGTCTCGATTGCTGAACTTTTTAAGAACTTGTCAACTAGTCACGTGCCTGTAAGTAGTATAATTTTATAACTCGATAATAAAAGTTATATATAAGTTACCGCGGGAAAATAAATACTAAGCGAAGAACATTAGTCTGTATTGTTACTTATCATCACATCCTGTCATTTTCCTCCTTTGATCTAGCTCCCGTAATTAAATAAGTGAAGCTTAAATTGACATTATTAAACTGTTTATGGCCCTTCTTTTTCTTTATAAAAGACTTTCCCACATTTGCCCTACTGGGGCAGATTTGTTTGCAATTATATTTCGACGCGACCGATTTACCTACAAATAAACTGGCGACGTCAAAAAAAGTTCTTTTCTTCGTGCGACCCCCCTTGAGAAGAGGGTGACTAAATTCGGTATCTGTTAGTTATTTCGAGCATCTACGCAACTCGGGACCTCCAGTCCATTTTGCAGGGACGTTGATTTTGCTTGGCTCTTAGCCAAAACTGCTGACAGATCGATAAAATAGCATCATCGTGATGCGGGAGAATGATGCGAGCGAGAAGAAGAGATGAGAGAATAACGTGGGACACAAAACGCGTTCTCGTAGACTATAGTTATGGACGTTTGTTTGACCTTGAAGCGTCCTTACTCCACAGTCGAAACAATACCCATCATTTCGTCTGCTCTAATGATCATTTTCATAAACCGGACACACGTATCGTCTTAGGAAGATACTGTTAAATAACCAGGAAATAATAAAACTAAGGTCGACTTATTAGCGACCCTTAATACTTTCGACATTTTCCTGACTACTGGAGAGATTCGGCTGATGTTTATGCTCTAATTCTTCTAAAATTGCATCAACCTTGTCCTTCGGAGTATATCGTTCACCCATCCACAAATGCGGAACCTTTCCTATTGTCATATTTTCGGTACCAAAAATTCATGTGTTTTTAATTTCTCTACCCTTCGAGACCTCTTTATGAAGAAGCAGGTGGTCTTTGTAAACAGTGAGTCTTTCCTAAATGCGTCTGTTGCATTTTAATAGCGAGATCGTTTTAAATAAGTTTTTTTCCCTCCTACTTCCTTTTCATAGACTTTAATTCGTCACGTTACCCAAAATATATCTACCCTCGAGTGAATTTTATTAATTTTAGAAATATACAATTAAAAAAAGCAGGCGTGTGAGGAACTGGTTACGAAGCACCTATTTAGACTCGCGACTATAAGAAACGTGACATATGTTACGCCATGTATAAATAATCTTCTTGCCAAACAATCGTCGCTTCGTTTCTTCTATATAGTAGCCCTTGTCCCACAAACAGTAACAAGACATATTGTATCTTAGAACACAACTTAAAATGTTGGAAAATTTTAAATGAAATTTTAAGAGGAAGAAATATACCCGACCGGGTCGACGTCCCCCGAATTGGAATGTACCCAAGACATTAAAAAAAGACGAAAACAAAATATTCTGGGTTAATAGTTATTTTAAAATATAGATTTGAATCCAAGAATTAATTTTTTTCTTTCTTTAGTAAAAAAATTACTAAAATCGTTCTTACAACTAAAAACTGTAGTTAGAGAATTGACGTTTAATTTTAAAATCGAGTTTCTCTTCACTCCGTTCGTTTATAGCAATTTATACTCTGGGTTCGGGTTCATTTTAGAATGTAAAACCTTTGCCAACTTCGCTTTTCCGACCCACACGACTTCGTTGTTTAATTTAAATTTTCTATCGTTTAAAAAGTCATTCGGAAATACCGTGACCATCCACAATTATAGCAACTATTGTATAACTTTCGCATTTATCACGATTGTGTGGCATATTTTTACATCTACCTTCACTGATTATAAACAAAGATACCCGAGTCGTTAAAGATACAGAGTTATTTTACGAAAAAGCTGTAAATTTAAAACTCTGTGGACTTAGACAGTAACCTTCAAACGATCTCCGTCTAAACAACCTTTACAGTATTTTAATTGAATTTAAATATTTTATTGTCGCCTAATTCGATTTTGATGGCTATGACGTACCCTGTTTAAAAATTCGGTAAACAAGTAGAGAATTTTCTGAAATTTCTTACCTGTGAAATCGAATCGAACACGTGTAATCACCATTTTCATCTAACATAACTCGAAATCGAGTAGAAAAATCTCACTTAAAAACATTTTTTTAAGGATTGTTTACGAGTTAAATCGGACACGGATTAGAATTTTATCTGTCAGAAAGTTTAAATCGGTCTAAAATGTAAAGAAAAACACGAGAAACAAACACACTCACCTACCTTAGATATAGGTGTTACATAGCATTGTTTAATAGACGAGCGACGGCGTATCTATCCATTTCCATTGTACTAAATTGACATAAAACACATCTCGAACACACACAGCTAACATCTGTTTGTTGAACAAATCACGTGAAAACACGATCGCACTAAACTAGCCGAATAACAATCTGTACGATCTTCGTTTAGTCCGTTGCGCCAAGCGTGCCGTTTGGTTCGACTGTAATCTCGTATACAGACTAGGCAACGGCGAGAATCGGCGAGACGTGGTCCTACGTCGACGCCTCCACCCTGATTGGTAAGAAAGTTCCAGGTACGCGATTTCAAATTCGGAACGCTGACTCAAAAAGGTGGTGGATTTCGCAATGGTTAACATCGTCGACAAACTCGACGACATCCTGCGTTTATAATGCATTAAGAATTTATGTAATCAAAGCACGGAAATTCATCTTTCCTTTATTCATTTAAAAATACATGAAACGTGGCAAACGTGACGCGTGCTTACTAGTCTATTTTCGTGTGACAATAAACAGGAAAATACGGCATTAAGTCACGTGGCCGATTTTTTTACCGTAAATAATTTTAATTTTTTTTATTTAGTAGACAATAATATTAAATTATTAACACTTTTTTTGCTACAGTTCGGCGCAATTCACCTATCTTTCAACGCGTAGAAGCGCAGCAAAAATAAAAATTTTGTATATAATTAGACACGCAAATGAGTTTCCTTAGATATGACTCACTTAATGAATACTCGAATAAATTTGTAAACCAAATTTGGTTTAGTTGTAACGAGTTTTTTAACGCGATTACATACACATTTATGTAATTTTTTTATTAGCCAGATCGAAACTTTTTAGTAGCTCTGGGATTTAGTTGTAAGACGATAATGGTATAGGTGACGAAGAAACTAAAACAAGCAAGAATAAGGCGCCTGGAGACGACTACAAAATTCCAAATAGTGAGAGCGGGGCAGAGCTTGATTGATTGAGACTGCAGAAGCTCCACTTGCAGCAAACAATCTTCTTCTCTAGTCGGTAGAGCTAGTGAAAGACGACGCACACAGTCGACGGTACAGAGAAACACTTCTTTAACATTAGCAGCCAACAGAGACAAAACTAGAAGAAAGCACACGGACGGTAATAATTTAAATAAAGTGAAAGCTATGAAGGTTTCGTTTATAAATGGATCTTCTCCTTTATCTAATAGCAGCGATATCTCGTTGCAAACATATACGCACGTTACGCTATACCAAATAAACATCACCGGGGAGAACAAATCATCCATTTGTTGAACGCAAACTGTCAGACGGAAATGTTGCATCTGCAGTAATTTTACAGCAGAAACGTTTCTGATACGGACGGTTTTTATGCCTCTGTTATAATCATTAACTACCGTGTATATATTTCTACACAGTACAGAATATAAAACGATATAAAAATATATGGGTTGAAACACCATAAGCTGAGCCGTAAAAATGTTAACTGCTGGCAAAATATATTTTAAAAAATTATACCATTTTTCCACTCGTAGCCCGTAAAAATAGATATCGTAATATACTTGTAGAGGGTAAAAGGATAATAGCATATAACCTATAATAACTGACGACGTGCCGTACACAGCTATCAGGATTAACGATCCTTTCATCCACTTTTTTGTGGAGGCGATGGAATTCGGTGTTTGCACTTGGCTCAGCATCGTCAATAAATCGTTTAATTTACTTTTTCTGATCCACATCATGTCTATAGTAGATGCCGATGCCAGACAATGTTCTAATAAAGTAAACGAATACCAGAGAGAATTCTTTTCGGTGTGAACAAACAACCAACTGAAAAAATAGCACAGGTATGCGTGAAGTGTAAACATACCTATTGGGTAAAAACATTCGCTATTTTCCAAATTTAAAAAGCCTAAAGATCGTAAAAGAGAAAATACCGGTTGTAATAGTCTACGAATAGCTTTCGAAGAATCCGTCCTGTAAAAGTCGGTCGTAGATTTAAAGGCCTGTATCCTGATCATTATATCCTGGAATACTGTTTGCTGCTTGCTAGCTTCTCTATGGGTGCAATTTTTCTGGTCTGTGCAGCTCGTATATATAATATTCTATACGAAAACCTAATTAATAAAACATCTGTAGGTATATCTAGCCAATATCGTCCTCCTTTTGTGTTTTTTCATACAGGAAAAAAGGCTTTTGTGTTCTTTTGTGGGTGAAATGACAGATTATCGATAACGCTCCGTGGCAAAAGAGGATTTTTCTGAAAGAAAATCTTTATCCGCACATCTATCAGAGTTAAACCTCAAAGCCTATTTTCTATGGTTTATTTATCCAACTTAATTAAATATCATTTAAGCTCCAAGAACTGGATATTAAATTAGGACAACAAATTATTTTTATAATGAGTGTCATGTGACCTAAATTAATTAAGAGAAATTATCTAAACAGAACGAGAATCAAACAGTTGTAAAAGTGAAATATCTTGAAAAGATTTTTTCCACTTAAAGAGTGATTGATGACCATGTCAACCTGAATTCTTGGAGCATATCCTATTATTTACACCTTTATAAAGATTTAAAATGAATTTTGTGATGTATACAGCTTTTGTACCTCTTTTCTGTGCAGTTTTTTCTTCTTTTAACAAAAGCAAGCAATTTTTCATTAAAATAACTTCAAAAATCTTCATTAAATATTCCAAGATACAAAAATTTAATACATTTTGTAATATAAGATTGTTTGATAAATTACAATTTGTGTTCTATTAATTTATATTGATGTAATGTATCAGATGATGTAAAGTTGAATTTAGCATGTTATAATGGCTCCTACAGAGATGGTAGATATAATAATCTCCTGTTAAATTTATGATAATTGAAACAGGAGGAAACTTTTCTGCATAATATTCCAATTACTGTGTATGAAATATTTTCAATGCTTTATGAAAGGAGCTGTAATTCTTAAATTTAAGCTACCACACTTACAAATGAAGCTTTTCAAAGGCAGTGAATACTATTCAGGTTTACTAAAAATACTTTGAATATGAAACCTGAGATGTTTTTCAAAATAATTTATAGACATAATTCCAGAATGTCTTCTAACTTTGTTGTTATAACCCAAGTTAAAATAAATATTCTAATCAATTAATACATCTACAGATTAATTCATAATTTGACAGTAATTTGTATTCATATACTGTATTAATGTTTTATTAAGATTTAACTTTTATGACAGAGTTTCTTATATTTAATAGCTTTATAATGAATAATATAAAATTTTAAATAAATTTTTAATATTTTAAAAATCTTTTTAACTGAAATACATTAATAATGACAAATTTGATTTTATTAATTCTTTATATATGTGCATGGTCAATGATGTTGCTTAAATGTGTAAATAAGATCAAAAAATTTCATTTTTAAAGATTAAATAATTTATAATTATTATAAATTTTAATTAATAATTTTCATTTAAATTGTTTTTGTAGAATAGAATTACTTTAAATATATGAACTTTAAGCTTTGAAAGCTGATTCTTTTACTTATTTCTCTAAATAAACTTTATGAAAATAAAAGAATTATTTTTCAGTAATTTTTAAAATTTTCAGTAAAACGGAGAAGTAAAACTATTTAAGTTATGTCATATTTCAATTGATAAAAGTAAATACCTTTTCTAAACTTCTATTGATAAGATGAACAATGATAAGTCAGGTAAGTTAACTTGCATCAAGATTACATTTAATTAATTGACAAATTTTATATCAAGATTGTTAACAAAATAATTAGGACTTTAATAATAAATTTAACTGTTATTATTTGAATACAATTAAAAATGTAATATAAACTTTGATAAATTTAGACAAAAAATTTAAATTATTAAACCAAATTATTTGCCTAACAAATGATAAATGAATCTTCAGTAGAACTGGAAGTGCATTTATGAATAAATTTCAGTTTAAAATATTCCAAGTCTGAAGTTTTGGTACTCCAGTTTCAAATCAATACTTCAAATACAATTTTCATATTTTAAATTGCAAAGTATTTATCTCAGTTAAACAAATTTAGAGATTTGTATTCAAAGATTCTAGTAAAGACCTATTTACTAGAATCATTGTATATTTATAATTCTACATGAATAAATCACTACCATTTCATATTTTATCTATTTTTAGACTACATTGCCTAGATCATATATAACAACAGGAAGAGTAAGTTGCTTAAATGTTTCATCATGTAATAATAAAAAACAAATATTCTATATTCGGTTTTAAATATATATTTATTTAAATATTATTTAAACATTTTTCCTTTTTTTTGTATTTGATAAATAAATACCAAAAAATTTTGCATTTTATCAACATTATATCAAAAGGTAAAACCATAACTTAGTCCCAGTCATTACCATCATCATCTCTTTGTAAGGAAGACAGCATGACATCTTGTATCTTTGGTCTAGGATCACTTTCTAAAGTTGTTTGCACAGCTCCTGTCTTAGATAAAATCCATTCCAATTCTAAATAAAATAATATATATACATTGAATTTGATAAAAATTGTCAGGACAAATAAATATTTAAAATTTTACAAAATTTTAAAAAATTCAGTAAAGTAGACAATACATAGGTGTCTTCTTACCTTAGTTTTATCAATTTTATTTATTATTTTTTAATTTTGCCATCACCAGAGAAATATTTTTTATCATTTTACATATTGAGATAGACGAGTAGCCTCAAATGAAAGGTCGACTACACTGTAGAACTATTAATTTTTCTTCATGTGAGTGCAAAGAACAACATAAGATGACACCTATGTATTATCTACTTTGCTAAATTTTTAAAATTTTTGTAAATAATTAAAAAAAAAAAAAACATATATATATAATTTCTTAATTAACACAACTCAATTTTTACTCCTATATAAAATAATATCATCATTATTGCTTTTCATTTTCTAATTCAAAAATAACCTATAAAAATGTAGTGTGTGCTATTCATATTCATTTATGAATAAACAACTCATCACAGCATTGAATATTACAAAGACCAAATGTACATATCAAAATTTAATTATAATTCAGTAATTTAATTGTATAGAATATTCTTTTATTCTATTTAGAATAACAGTAACACTTCCTGTTTCTTTTTACATATAAACCATCTGTAATAAAATATTCATTACTAAATTCTGCAATATTCATCCATTGAAAGTTCCACATTTACTTCATTAAAAATTTGTCTTACAATCTTAAAATACAAGAATGATACTTAAGTTTTAAAACAGTAATAAAATCTTTGAAAAAATATTTTATAATATGTTCATTACTGAACTATGAAAATTAAATTAAATTTCAATTTAAAAAATTACATATTTTAATATAAATAAACTTTACTTTTTTAAACATTAGGCCTATATGAAATTAAATATAAACATTTAACATAGGAAAACATTTTAATAATTATTATAAAAATGATCAACTTATATTTGATACAATATACTGACAGAAAACAATATTTTATTCATAAAAAATGAATATAGTAAATTATGTTTATCAATAATGTAATCTGGCATATCCTGTATAGTATGTATGAATACTTCACATTATGAATATTTTATATTCATGGATTCATATAACAGAGTTTATATTCTAATATAAACTGTGTTCTATGAATCTTCCATGAATCTGTATAACTATACATGAGTATGTATAACTAAATACTAACATATTGCTTTTGAATCAAATAAAATTGAAGCATTTTCATTCTCAAATTGTTTTTATCTATATAAATATACAACTTTGCATTACACAGTAATATGTCAGCATTTAAAAACAGAAAATTAATTTTATATGCTATTATAATGTGCAGAACAATGCCTATAGATATTACATTACCACTATACAGACCACTATTAATATAAATAATTTCTTATTTCAGACAAATAATATCTTGCACTTAAGATTGTCCAGAATGCACTATTTTTAATTTTTCTATTTTATTAATTCTAAAATTTTCCCCACAAGATATTTTATACATTAAAACTCAATGAAAATCATCTTGAGGAAAATAAAAAAAGCAAGAAACAAAAATTTTAGATATTAACTAAGTAAATAAATAAATTCCATATAACTGAATTTAATAATGATTTATATAATCATTAGCAAATTCAGTGTAACTTGATATTATAATTATATTTTTTAGTAATATAAATTAAATAGATTTTAATATTTTTAGATGCTTGTTGTTTAATTTAAATATCTAAAAACATTTATTTAAATTGTATCATGTTTAAATAACTATTTTTCTTATGAATGTACGAGTAAATTAAAGTTAACATCCAGGATGTATTGCTTACAATCCATTCCTCAATACAAACTTTTATCTAGGAATAGGTTTTCTAAAGTATAATATGAGTTTTGATGATTAAAAACAGCTGCTAAATCTTTAATATAATTTTATTCAATAATTAAAATCATGATGATTTGAGATATTAAATTATTTATAAGTAACACTTATATATAAATAATTAAGTATGATAAAAATTCTTAATTATATATTTCTTATTTATCGTTTCTAATAATTTATATATATATTTTGAAATTTATCTTGCAAAGTGGATTAGAGTTCAATAAACAGAAATATCAATTTAAAAAAGGGCCAGAGTATAAAGTTAATTAATGAAGTTTATCATCAAGTTTTGAATTATTATACAAAGATTATCTTTTATTTTATTTATTAATTTTTTTTGTATAAATTCTTACAGTTTTCTTTCAAAATCAAAAAGTCTACATTAAACAAAGAATAATTATTCACATTTTAAATGTGGATAATTATTTTAAAATACTTAAATGAATATTTAAATTATATAAATATTAATTTAATAACAATATGCTTAATTTCTTAATGCCATTTTTCCTGAACTTATCCTAAAGAAATAAAAATGTTAAATAATGATGACAGTATACAAAATACCTTTCTGAATATTAGCTGTATTCTAAAAATAAAAACCAGTACATGACTATATTAAAAAATTAAGAATAAAGATAATGGATTTATAATTTAGATTTTGACATTCTTCTTACCATCAATTTTTAAATTCATTCCTCGGAATGTATCTGAACCAACAAGCTGTTTTTTCATATCTCCCTCAAAATAGACAAATATGGTAGGTAAATTACGATCAGGGAAATTAGGGATGCATGTAGTAGATATACTTTTCAAAAATTTTGTAGCAGGAAATTTTGCTGCCAGCTGTGTTAAATATTGATTAATAAGAGTACATAGAGGAATTCTGAAATTAAAAATAAATAGAATAAATTTCATAATTAAAGTTTTAAACTAAAATTCAACTTACTAATAAGATAAAAATTTTAAGATAGAATTATAAAATTACAATGTCAATAATCATCTTTAAAAAATTTAAATTAATTCTTTATAGTTATTACAAAGAATTAAGTTAACCTAAAATTTTTTCCTAATAAAAAAAAAAATATATTAATTTGTTCTCTGGAAACCTTTTAAATGAGGCTTAGACTCTGTACACACTAGGCGTTTTTCAACGCGCGTTTAAAAGAACCAAGAGTTCTATGTAGCCGTACACACTCAAAAGCCAAGCGCGCGTTAAACGCGCGTTTTGCGAGCGCTTATAGATTTTTGTTAAAACGCGCGTTTTGCGAGCGCTTTACGGGCGCTTTGAGATATATGTGCTGCCATGTTACCGTACATGCGATCGCGCGTTTTGCGGGCGTCAGCCGAGCGCTTTGAGATATATGTGCTGAAATGGAGAACGATCATTTCGATACTGATCTATTTATTGATGAAATCTAAAAGAGACCAACCATCGTCAAAGGATTTTATAGATATTTTAAAAGAATTAAAAAACTTGAATTTATTTTGTCTTAGTTTTGGATACAACGTCGCAAACATTTCATGCGTCAGTCTATCTCGTAATATTGGGTGCACCCAAAATTCTCTTTGCCTCCGCCGTCGTCTTTTATAGCGACGATAGAGGAGCCACACACAAGCAATCACTTCCACATCCATTTCCAAACCGAGCCAGTGCGCATGCTCCGCTAAACGCTCGTCGAACGCCGAGCTAACGCGCGTTAGCTCGGCGTTCGATGAGCGTTTAACGCGCGTTGAAAAACGCCTAGTGTGTACAGGTCCTTAAACTAAAATGGTTATTTCAAGAAGCAAGTCAATTTTTATCTTATATATTGATTATATTTAGTTAAACTTCAATACACATACAAATAAATGATCAAAATAAATATTGAATTACGAAAAAACAATTTTTTTAATTAATTATTTACAGTATATAATTTGTAAAAAATTTTGAATTAAAAAGATAAAATAGTCTAATTTATTCATTCTTTTATCTATCTAATGTTCAATTTTTAATAAAAACTTTCTAGTGTTGAGTTATTTATATACATGTGAGTGTAATAAAGTTTATCTGAAATAAAAACAGATTGTTTGCTTAACAATTTGACAATCATCCTAATTTTTAGTTTGTTACTAATTAATAATTTAATTAAATAATGTCTAAACAATAATTAAAATCTAGAAGTGATTTTACAATTAATCAATTATGATTTTTGTTAGTACTTACAATAAATTTTGAAAGAAATAAGAAGTGATATATCACTTCTTATATATATAAGAAAGTAAATAAATGTTATTTTCTTATAAATTTGTATATATATATAAATTATTGATTTCAGTTGAAATACAATTAAAAACTTCATTATAAATAAAACAAAAAATTATTTAACTTTATTTTGATTATTCAACTTTAATTTATTCAATACACTGAATAATAAATTATATAATATAATAAAATTAATAATATACTGAACAGCATAAAAAATAATGTTTATTAATTTAAATAATCAAAAATATGAATATTTTCTGTAAATCATCAATCCTACTTTCTTACAATAAAATTTTTTTAAAATATGAATTATTAAAGTCAAAAACACTTTTTTAAACATTTTAAAATACGTTAATCTTCATTTTTATAAGCAAAAGATGAAATTTAAATTTTTTTTAATAACTTAAGACTCAAAATATAATAATGTTATTAATACTGAAATATTGTAATGTTAAAAAATAACATTTATTTATTTAGATGCTTGCAACTACTTAAGTAATACTCTTACACATAATAAATTGCATTAAATCAAGTAATTAGTAGTAATCCAATAAAGTTTTAATAGCTATATAAACATACATACATACATATGTATTAAAATTTATATTTAAATTTAAGACTATTGCTTAAGTTATTACAATAAAAATTTGTATTTTAATTTGAATATTTAAATTTATTTCATTAAAAAATGTTTTTAAAATATGTTAAACATCCTAGAATTCTGTCTACAAAGTGCATGTATCTAAGCATTCTTCTTTTAATTAAAGGTCAGCTATATTTTTATGAAAATAATAAAACTATTATTCAAAAAGTAATAGAATTATTATTATTTATCTTAAAATTAATTAGCAACTATTAAAAAAAACATATATTTATATACCTATTCTTTCATAATACTGTACTGTATATAATATTTATTAAAAAAGAATATTTTCTTTTATAATATACAATAATCACACAAATATGTAAATATTGATAATTGCATTTGTTTAAATGATGTAATAAATAGAAAAGCATTTGAATAATATATTTTATAAATGGATAAAAGATATGCATATACAACAAATCTTTCTTATAAAACAACAGTAAAATTGCACTTTACAAAACAAAAACACTTAAAAAATTAAAAATCAAACATACATTAACATTTAGATTATATATTGGTCTAATTATAAACTGATATAAATTCTTATAATGTTGTAAAATAAATCATCTTTTACAAAATTATACAATTATACTAAATTTTATCTGAAGTCCATCAAAAAAATTAAAACTCTCTTTTATAATATTAAATTAATAGCAAACTTTTCTGTGTTTATCTCTTAAGTTAAATGTTAATAAACTATGTTTTCCTTCTAAAAATTTAGTTCACAACTGACATAAATTTTCTAATTATCAGCGGGAGATTATTATTTTTTTAATGCATTAAAGAACAAAGAAAAATACTAAAATCCTCTAAAGTGTTAGTCTATATAGTCAGAATTAAATAAAAGAAAGTCATTAGTTCTTTATTATGATCATCCCTTGTTACATGATCTACTTAACCTTATTCTCATTAATCTCTAAAACTCTGTTAAGTTTCCTTGTATTATCAAGGAAACTTAACACAGTTTTAATCTGTAATATTTTAAACAAAGTTTTTTACTCATTTACTTAATGTTTATTAGAAATAATTTCTTTATTGATGCATCTTATTTTCTTTCAGTTAACACCTAATTATTATTTATTTAATTTTTATTACTTAAGTACTAGAACAATATTACTTTGATAAAAAATGTTTATTTCATTTTAAACTAAGACCAAAGTATTGTCAATTTATATATTAATGTATGTATCATAAATTATTTGTTTCATCAATTTATTGACTATGCTTTAAATGTTGTAATGCTTTAAATTATTTCCAGAATGATAACGAAGTAATTTTTATTTTATTTAATAACTTCCTTAACATTAGAAATTCAAATTATACACAATGATTCTTCAAAGTTTGAATTACTTTTTATTAAAAATATATATAT